ATTATATGTATATATACACATATATATATATATATACACACTCATATTGCCCAGTATATACATATACATACTGTATATAAGGGTTTTGGCTGACAAAATGTTTGGGAGCCCCTGGTGTTATTGATCATATGTGTGTTTTTCAGGCAGAAGGGGTTTGACATCAAGTGGATTGATGACACTCATGCCCTGGGTTTGTTCTCCAGTCCCATTGCAGGTCAGTGTGTTCTAGAAGAGAAGAGAATGGCTTTATGATGCCTATAAGATCTCTGGAGTCAATCGCTGGTGGACCTGGAGGAAAACAGCATGACGGTATTAACTTCTGTGATGTGTGTGAGGACCTGAAATTGTCTGAGGAAGATCTGTGTAAAAGAAACCAAAGAGTTTGAAGAGTAGAAATGGCACTTTTTCAAATGTTTATCTAATACAGCGATTTTTGGTTGTTTTTCAAGTGAATTGATTGCTAGCTAATGTATGTTTATATAAAACTTATCCTGCTTATTCTTTATTCGCATTACACATTCAAAACATTGATAAGTTACATTAATATAATTATATATAATATAACATTGATGTATCTGTAAGTCGCTTTGGATAAAAGCATCTGCTAAATGACTAAATAGAAACGAGAAGCCCCCAAAATGAGAAACCTTGTCCTTTTCTTGTATATACGTGTGTGTTTGTGTAGCTCGTGATGCTCTGAGGATGAAGAACCCCATGATGAAGGTCAGGCCTCTCTCCAAATCATCAAACACCACTAAAGCCAAAGCACGCAGCTGCTCCGGTACACCTGCTCTCTCTTATTCACTCATGCCTGAACTATTCTGAGCCTGTTTTGCACATCCATCACAAATTAATTCATAAATCAAACCTGATTGTCTCTGTGTAGATTACCTGCTGCCGGCTAAAGAGCGTCCTCAGACGAGTGCGGCTCTGGCACGCCGCCTGGTGATCGGGGCTCTGGGTGTGAAGAGTAACCAGACCAGAGAAGAGCGAGAGGCCGAGAGGAACAAACTACGGCAGGCGAGAGGTGACCTGTTATTCTCAGGTTCTTCTGTTGCTGGACTGGTAAAAACAGGGATTTATTTGATCTGTTTTCTCGTCAGAACAAAAGCACTTGGCTGCTGAGCAGCGGGAAGACGTCTCGGAGGGCAAATGAAGACAGGTTTGTGTTTTTGTGAACTATGAAGCGTTTTGATTTGATCATCAGTTCAGGTCTGAAGTGGTTTATCTCTGGGTTTGGGGTCTGAAGGAGTGGGACCTTCAGCAGGACTACTGCCAAACCAGCACGGTCTGAACCAAAGCCACAAGAACAGGGGACACGGGGGTTCATCGAAGCGAAGTGCGAGAGCCACACACTGCAACAGGGACGTTTTGTAATTTTATATCTTTCCTCTTGAGATTTTTGAACGTTTCAGTTTTGGAAAGGCCATTTTAATTATTTTAATGTATTTTTGTGAAAAGGTTTTCTCTTTGCTGACTAACACTAAAAAGTGGGGTTTTTTTTTTGCTTCAGTAAAAAGAAAAGTTGACACTAAATCTGATAATGTCTTTCATGCCACTTTTGTAAATGAGGGAATCTGTCAACTCAAAAAAAAAAAATTGGTCAAGCATGATGGTAGTACTTGTACTGCCATTAATTGCATATTTTTTCAATGAAAATTGAATTACAGTGAATATTTTCTAAATCCTAATTGAGAATTGCAATATGGTTGTAAAAATCGACTTTTTTGTAAGAATGACATTAGACTAAAGTCAATTGTGAACATTTTATTTAATACCAATCAAGTATTTTGCAAACCATCAGCACATTCTAACAGAACTTTTTTTTTGTATATGTTCTTTCATTATTACTGTAAATACTGTGCTGTTGTTTATCCACAAAATGGTTTGTTCAGCTACTAAATTGACAGATGCACTTTTTCATGTGTCTGTTGTTCGCAGATGTTGGTGCACTTGAATTCCCAGCTCTGCTCTGAATAAAAATGTTCAAATCTTGCTTTAAAATATCATTCATGGATAGGTAATGTAAGTCTTTAGGATTTTCCAGTATGTGCAATTATTTGCATTAATGTTTGCCTACAAAACCACCACTGGCTCTGCACCCCTTTACCTAAATTCATTACTTCAGAATCATATAGTAATATAGTAGCTATATTTAATTTCTGAAAGGAAAGAAAACGAGGCTCTTAGGCATTTAAGTACAGTGTGTTTAATGGACTGTACTTGTTTAACAAACGTTTAGCTATCAAAACTTATGAAAAAAAACTTTAAATAAATCTATTACACGAAACAGGGTTTAAAATTGTGAAAAGTTCTAGGACCTTAATACAGTGCATGCCATTGTAAAGATTGTAGTCTGTCCCCCAAAGCCTTGATTTCATTACTGTAAAAAAATTAAAATGGCGTCTAACCGGAGTAAGACCAACAGTCGAAAACGTTCTGTGCGTTATAAGCGCGTGCAGCAGCTTCAACCACTGGTGGATTCTGATTGGCTGTCAACGTCTTTATCGTGCAGTAATTAAAAACATTAAGTCACTGGAACAATACCGTTTCTCTGTGACGCTATCGTTATAGGTGGTGTGGACTTCACTATTCTCATCGATAGAACAATTATCAAAATGGTATCGTTATAGATGGTGTGAATGAATGATAACTCTTGTTTAATGCCTTGAATTTTATGCGAGCAGCTATTGGTAGCCAGTGCAAACTGATAAACACAGGTGTGAAGTGCATTTTTTGCTGTCGTGTTCTGGATTAATTGTAAAGGTTTGACAGAACTGGCTGGAAGACCTGCCAAGAGAGCATTGCAATAGTCCAGCCTGGATAGAACAAGAGCTTGAACAAGGAGTTGTGTTGCATGTTCTGAAAGAAAGGGCCTGATCTTCCTAATGTTGAATAAAGCAAATCTGCAGGACCGGGCAGTTTTAGCAATGTGGTCTGAGAAGGTCAGCTGATCTTCAATCATAACTCCAAGGTTTCTGGCTGTTTTTGAAGGAGTTATGGTTGATGAGCCTAACTGGATGGTGAAATTGTAATGAAACGATGGGTTTGATAGAACCACAAGCAGTTATGTCTTGAGTTGAAGGTGATGGTCCTTTATCCAGCAAGAAACGTCTGTTAGACAAGCTAAGATGTGAGCAGCTATCGTCGGATCATCAGGATGGAATGAGAAGTAGAGTTGAGTGTCATCAGCATAGCGGTGAT